TTTAAAAAGTCGGGTAAAATTGTATCAAAATGAAACGTACTATGTTCGATTTCTTATTTTGGGAAACTTAATTACTTTCAAAATCTGATTTTAGGAACGTACGATGTTTTTGATATAATTAAGGCAACGTACTAAAACTCTATTAATAAAAAAAAAAGATTATAAATTGGAAGCAGAGATTTATTCGTACAGAAAATATTTATTCAATTTTCTTGTTTGAGATGTTTTGTTGTGGACACCAAAATGTAGCTTTTGAAAGTTGTTTCCAAATATAAGAACCAGAACAAAATATATACGTTCCATTTTGGTACAGTTTTTCTTTCACGATTTAACAAGTATAATTCATTAATTCTAACCATCGTGATTTTAACAACGAGTGAATTGTTCGTTGTAAAATATGCTATAATATACCTTATAGCCGGTATTTTATGTTCCTAATACGTCCTACCCCCTTGCAAAATATTTCAAACCCAAACAGACTTTAATTTGATCGGGTCGATCCTATATCCCGATACTACACAATACAGTTTGTTCATTCAGAGGATTAAACAACACTTAAAAACGATTAAAATTTGTATAACTCGTTGGTTTTCATTCTGGGATTTTTATCTACGTCTACAAATCTATCAAAGAGCCATACCTGTTGCTCTTGTCTCGCGTTGGACCTCGTCTTGCGCATCGTCCGGATATCGCTAATTTTTTCTTTGATGGCCTGCATTTTTGTTGACTTTCTTGTTTTTTTAAAAAAAAGTCAATTAACATCTAATATAGTTTGGTTATTTGATGCCATAGAAAAATGGTTCAACAAACATATATGTATATGTGTACTTGAAGGTCTCCTAAATGAGAGGGTTATGTTTTGTGGCTAATGAAAATGTTGGAGCACAATAAATATAGGAGTGGTTTAAGGTTGACCTATAACTTAATGTAGAAGCCAAAATGCTTAATTTGGATGGTTAATTAATCTTATTTAAAAATATTAACAATTAATTAATTATTGATCAGTGGTGGTTATTATTACGGTGTGTTAAATGGTACTAGTGTTACTAGTTTTAGGTGTGGTTATAATAGGTATAGAGGTTATCTCCATAAATACGACACACTGACAGAAATGCACACATATAGAGATGAGTTCCGTTAGGAACCTAGAATTAATTGGAAATCGTAGGAGCCGATCACAGCACAATATGTAACATATTCATTAATAATATGGACGTGTAATTCATCATGAATATGTGATTAATGACGAATAACATGTACATATTCATCATAATGGTGTGGTTCCTTATGAATAACATTTTCATATACATCATGAGTGTGTTATTCATGATGAATATTCACTTAGATGATTGACACGTGGCGTGTTGTGGACGGTTCGTATGTTACTAATCAATTTTGGGTTCCCAATGGAACTTCCTTCCACACACATACATAAAATAACGCACACATACATACAATAACATACACACACATATGCATACACATATATAGGCTCATGTTCACGTGAGAACCATAAAAATTTTGAGAACAATGAGAATATTTATATAATTAATGCATATACACTAAGAAAATATGTATTTTGCCAATGAGTATACTCATTAATACCTATCTACTATGCATGCAAGCATATATATGCACTGATGCATATACTTATTGAAATTCATCGGTGTATATGCATCAATGAATATGCAGATTTTCACATGAACACTTATATGTTAGGAGATTCAAATAAGAAGACTAAATATTATGACAAAGTAAAAAATGGAAGGTTTATATGTGAAATCAAAAAATCCGTTTGAAGAAGGATATGTAAACTCATATAATAATATATTATGTCGATTCACATATGCATCTTTGAATAGATTTTCTTTTTCAACTTTTTTTTAATGATTCACATACGAACATTACATTAACCTTTATTTCTTACATTTTCATGATATTTAGCCTTCTTATTTGAACAAATCATATTTTTATTATCGGATTAGGTTTTAGTAAGAATCCTCCTTACTGTGAGAACCTTCTAACGACCATCAATCGCTTTTTTCTTTGTTTGATCAAATGACATTGGTCGTGCGTCCTCTTAATAAAGGGGCGCAACATGGTCATTTTTGTTTTCTGCATCTAGACAGATCATCGTACCATAACATGATAGTTTTCATGTTAAGGATGTAAAGTATGTTAAGATTTGTCCAAATATATAAATGTTTGATGTTTTTTGTTTATTAAGGTTGTTAGAATATTCACCTTTAAGTGCCCTAGACTATTTACATCTTAGTATGTTAATATTTCATTTAGATAATATGTTACATTTAAATTCCTCAACTATGACTTAATGACATACAGGCCCTCCAACTAACTCGATGGATGATACCGTTACTTGTAACTAACTATAAATTTGGTGGTTATCACCGATTCTATATCTCTTGACGCCATTTTTAAACCTCCTTGCTAATTATTCTATCACTCATAATTGGAGAAACAAGAAGAATACGTAACATAGATTATCTATTAGTACTTTGGCATCAAAATGGATTATTGCAAGTGATCATCATGTACTCGTCAAGCAATGCAGTTAAAAATCTTCATACAAGTAAGTAATTGATACTCTTGTAGATTGAACCATAATGCACATGATGATTCTTTTCATGAATATGTAACTGGATCCGTTTTCTTATTTATCTTGTTTAAATGAACAAAGTTGTGTTAATGTTCATTGTTTTTCAAGTTAAGGTATGTTAAGGTTGCATGTTAAGGTATGTCAAAATTTTCATGTTTATGCATATTAAGGTATATGAGGTGTCTTAAGCCATGTTCTTTTGTGTTCGATTTGTTAAGGTCAGTTAACTAACATATGTTAAGGTTCAAATGTGTTTGTTTTTGTGAACACGACAAAACCTTTGGCAAAAGAATAAGACAAAAAGGAAAAGATACACCTACAACACGTGGGACTCCTACTCAATAACACGACCATTCAACCAATTGGACAGACCCCAAAATGGGGATGGCGAGCACTAGCCCAAACAACTAAATACAAGTGGTTGGAACAATCACCATATCATGTATACAAAATCCAAAACAAACTAAGGTTGGGATAATAATATATCATGATAAAAATAAATACATGTATGAGAAAATTTCAGGCACAAGTCTGGATCGTGGGACTCATGCATGCTCATCCTATCTTCATTGTGCCTCCCATATGTTGTTGAGAATTGGTTTCTCCTTACCTATTTCCTTTTCATGTTAAGAAGTGTTATGGTTGGCATGTTAAGCTTCATATATGCATACATCATTATCACTGAAGTAAAATGAATACTCACATGATCCTAAGTCTCTCTCTCTCTCTCTCTCTCTCTATATATATATATATATGTGTGTGTGTGTGTGTGTATGTGTGTGTGTGTGTGTCTTTGTGTGTATGTGTGTGATTGTGCGTCTTTTTAAACACTCTAGCATCAATCTCTAGCATCCAATTGATTGGGTCGCTCATTGCAGTTGGTCTTTGACATCAAATTCTAGAGGGCTTTGATCCAACACTCTTTTGTATCACTTTCATAATAGTCATTTTAAAAGTTCTAAATGATTTCAAATGACATATAAGTCGGCTTATCTTTAAACAATAATGACACTAAAATGTTGTTTCGTTCAGACTGAGGACTGAAAATGAGAATGAACGGGAAATGAAAACAAGAACAAGTTTTCATTCCCCCCAATTTGATCTGAAATGAACATTTGGGTTTGTGGAGTGAATGAGCTTATTATATAAATCAACACTTCCTTTTATTTTTCAATCCCATTAATTACTTATCAGTATCTCTAACCAAACATCCCCTAATATGTGAATCTAAAAGACCTCAAAATATGTCTACCTTTTAATCAGCTTATAATTATTTGTCATAAATTAAGAAAAACAACACTGATTCTAAATCATGTATCTCCTCCCTGTCCACTTATCAGAACAATATAAATCATTAAAGAAAGAATACAAAATCGAGTTAAATAAATGCTAGAACTGTGCTCGTGCAGTAATGCAACACAATAAATCTATCATTCGTCTCTCTTGATTTATATTTTGTAAATTTGTGTGGTTCTCATAGAACGAGAGAGTCTTTTGTTGGTTATAGTTTTATTGAGTATTTTGCCATGTTATTAGGTTGAACACTTATTTTGTATATGAACGTATGTTTATCAGTTGGTTATGATTTAATTTTATAAAGTTTAAACGTATTAACCTCGTATATTAAAAAATTAAGAGTTTCTTTTGACGTAAAACCTAAATGTTGTATAATATTAGAAGAGTACTCGTGCAATGCAGTGAGACATATCTCAATTTTAATTTTTTGGTCTCTGTCGATGTTATAATAAAGTTTTATGTGGTTTTGAGCAAGCACTAATATTTTTCTAATAAAATACAAATTTAAAGATATCATAAAAATAAAAAAAATCAAAAAGTTTTCATTTTTCTGTGTAATTTCTTTAATTTCAAATCTTATTATAATTTAATTTGATTTAATATTAAAGTAATTTATTTTTGGTTTAATAATATTTTTTATAACGATAATAACCAAGTATTTTGTTATAACTAAATAATTATCCTAATTATATTTTTAATTTTATATTTAAAATGAGAAGTTTATCATGTATTTAGTTATATTTATCTACAATTAGTTACACAAATTCAAACACGGAGCTTAATAAGTTGTACTTACACACAATTTACTTATAATCTTAAATTTTTAAGTAATATGCATCAATAAATAGTACTTCATGTATAAAATATGATTTTTAAGAATTTTTATCAAGTATTTTGTAATATAATATAAATATAGATAATATAAATATATTAAACAAAGTAATTATTCCGATTGATAGGACAAGAATAAAGACAAGTGATTTTCATTCATATCTATTAGTTATCACTACAAAACACAGATTCAATTTTCCTTTGCTAAAAGTTTTTAATTAACATAATATAAAATAACATAATTATTAATTATTAGTTATAAAAAGTACGGTTTAATTAAAAATGACACATTAGTGGTCTTTTACAACACCCAAATGAGTTTAATCAAATTAAAGTTGGTGCACCTTTAAGACCCCCTACATGTTTTACCATTACGACAAGACGATATTCGCCCCCAGCCACCTGCCGGTACCTAGCTGCCCCTGTAGGTCGAGAATGAAAAAGGCGAAAGCAGCAAAGGAACATGAAAATGTTCAGTTTTCTGGGCCTCTTTGACCTCAAAGACAATGGAAACAAATGGGAAGAAACCTAATGGGTTGTATTTTCCTGTGTTGAAGCTTATTCGGTATATACCAGGGTTCAAATCATCGACTATTTTCATCAATTGACCGCTTCGGCCATCTTTATCGGTCGTTGATGAACCCTGAACCATCCACTTGTCATTATCTGATTTGCCAAACATGGGGCTGAGCTGTTTCGCATTGTACATTTCTAACAGGACTTCGATTCCAGCAGCAGGACACCCGTGAGCTACATCTAGTACATGTGTTGTGATAGGTGGCCGAACCCGTGTAGGTATTGGAGATGATTTTGGATCAGAAGTTACAGATGGAGCCGTCAGATGCCCTCCCAAAATGGTCACCCGACCTTCTACATTAAAAAGATGAACGTCAATAAACCAAACCAAACCCAACCAAACCCAAACGAATATCCCATCTGCAGGTGGGGGTTATGAGAGGGGTAAGATTTATGCAAGCATGATGACCTCTACCGGAAGAGTAGAGTGGATGTTTCTGTGAATACCCTCCGCTTGTGAAAAGTGTGCGAAAGAGAGAAATGCGTATATGATAAATTGTGGAAACTTGTGGATGCCATATATTTACCCTTTCCATCGACGTTCATATGAGCCCAGTATGTTCCACCCAAAGGGGGGCTTTGTGAGGGGAAACATGTATGCAAACCTAACCTCTACTTTAAGAGTAGGGCAGATGTTTCTGTAAATACCCTCTGCTAGTGAGAAGTGTGAGAATGAGAGAAATGCATACAAGATAAATTTCGGAAACTTTAGTGGGTGCCATATAATTATCTTTCCATTGACGTTTAAGAGAATGAATGTCAATGGAAAGGGTATACATATGACACCGCGAATAAGAAGATACCAATACCAATATCATCATATTCTGTACCGATTAAATCAGGCAATACGTATTTTTGCTCAAAAATAGCTAAGAACATGGAGATTGTCGCAATTATTTTGGGACCGCGGGAATGCTTTGCGTCCATGATATCAGATTGTGAGGGACAAAAATAGAAGAACAGCCATGTTTTATCATGTACGACTGAACAATGAAGGCCTTTATTGCAGGCTAAACGACTGAATTTTATATGTTGTTGGTTATATTGTTCAAAATCGAAAAGAATGGTGGGCTAGAAAGAAACAAGGGGGCTATTAGTACGAATTTAAAAGACCAAGTTTTGAAGTAAAGAATTACCTTCAGCTTTGGTGACATCACTTGCAGTGGAGTGGACCTGAGTTGAAGCTGAAACTTGTATGTTTGAGAAAAGCTTTTGAAGCCGTAATTCAGTTATTTTCATTTGTTCTTGAGCTGCAATCTCAAACTCAACAATTGGCCTGTTTGGAAAACGTCTCTACAAAAGTAACTTAACATCCATCAATAAGAGTAGCTTAAATGCAGCTATATTGTCATCTACGTGTATTATACACACACACACACATAAGAAAGATGTAATCTGAAAGAGGATTTCCGATTAGTAGCTAATACTTCATGTACAAAGATTAGCCTCCATTTTGTGCAAGAGGGCATTTGAATTTGCATAAAATCACTTAGCTTTGGCACTCTACAGAGGCACACACTTTTCGTAACCTAAAAAATTGGCCTTCAGAAATAACCTAGAAGCCAAGAAAATGACAAAAAGAGGAATACTTGAAACCACATTTGACCAACAAAATTACTATTCTAGCGTCACCAATACTTCATATTTCCGAAAACGCCTTTAGCTTTTGACCATATATGCATATGGAAATTCACATCCTAAAGCACTGTCCAATTTCTCATTTTCAGGTGATAACTAGTGCAAACAGTTTCTATAGTAACTCAAAATATGTTCAATTTCTAAATACCATTTAGTAAAAGCCATTGTGACTTTAAGGGTTCGCGTCCACTAATTGCTCTCCTAACTGCGGCTGATGATTTAAAAAACGGAGATATTGCAGGCCTCACTTCTAGATGAGAAATCAAGGATTTCTCAGGAGGTTGATTCTGCCAGGATAGATGTGTAACCCCAAAATATGCAATGTGGCAAGGGTATTGCAAGATTCTACGAGCCCATGATCCACTTCAATACCAAAATACAAAAGCTATGAAGCTGCTATAGAAGTGCTGGAGGAAGAGGATCATATTTCCTTCCCTCCATCTTATCTGCATGTCCTATAATCTGTTGCTGCCCCCTCTCTCCACTATAGTGTAGACCATAATCTAAGCCCAAAATACTGGTCATATCAAATCAACCTTTGCCAAGCAAGAGAACAAAAACTGTTTTTTTCGAATCCCACTCAATTGAGTTATTTTCTAAAATTTGGTAAATAAGAAACAACAAGGTTTACAGGTGTGCAAACTCCAATGACCAATTAGGCAACACAATGGCCTGTAAAATAAAACCCATCTATAAAATACAGAATAGGCTAAAATTCCCTTACACTAAAACTTAAAAGCTAGTATCTTGATTTCAAAACAAAAGAACAAAGATGATTGCAAACTACTACCACTGATACCCATCTGATCAGGTTTACACCAGATAGGAAGTTCCTTTGCCTTTACTGTTTATGGTTTTATCCTGCATTTATGCACAGATTGAAACCCATAGCATCTTCTTCATCTCATTGTGAAAGAGAAAGCACTATGTTTGAAGCAATCTTGAATGCTCTCTGATCTATATTTGGAATAATGTCCAATATCTTCAATTACACGCATTGAAATGACTGGATTGATTTGGGATCCATATTTATGGCTTCCTCATTTTCCTCAACAGGTTACTTCCAAGTTCCAATTACTCAAGGGACAACCAAGAAATATAAGAACAAGCTAGGAAATATTTTGGAGGAGAGAGATTCCAAGATTGAGGTCAGGGAATGAAGAATCATATGCTCGTAAGACTAGAGCAGAATTGTAAATATACCTTCAACTCGGCTAATATTTCTGGAGTGCTTCTTCCTGATGCACATATAAGGAAAACAAATCCAAACTTTTTCTTGTATCGAGAATTCCACTCATATAATTCCTGCAAAGAGAAATCCAATTTATATATCTGTAGCAGTCCCAACTGATGGCATACGTCGTATTTATATTCATGAACTGTGAATGTTTAAGCAAAGGTATATGTATAGCCAGATGCTCTGCCTGAGCAGCATAGCGGATGACGGCAGTCAAAATTGCAATACAGTATAGTTATGCATCTCAGTTGGCAAATCATTCTCATTAATATGAAACCCATTATAGCACAAGGTTCATTTATAACAGATTTGTTTTATTAGTTCGAAACAGGGAACATAAAAAAATCACATAGCTCTCTCCCTCAACATGTGCACACACACACACATATCCTTGGTTTTTCTTTTTACTTAAACAGATTGCACCAATGTATCTTTCTTTTCAATATATTTGTAGGCAAACACGTCCCATGTTTGTGTTGAGGTAAATACCTGTAGGCTAGAATCCGTTGCAGTGGCTAGAGCTGTGGATTGCTCCCCTTTGCTCCACCTGCAAATACGGAAAACAACAAGATTTAGTCAAAAGAGCTAACCAGAATGCCGCGGCTGGAAAAAGAAGAGAACAATAGGATTTCCAGTTCCCCGTACATCAACTACTTTGAGTTCTATAATCTGCACTTTTCCTGTTTTCCTATGCAGAAAGACATGCAAGCAGGTCGACTAAATAAAACTCCAACAATTTCATGAACCATCTATACTGTATTCTGTTACATGGACTTATATGAAGATATTAGGTGCACGTATATGTAAAAAGAATCCACATGCACCTCCCCCCCCCCCCAAAAAAAAAAAAAAAAAAAAAAATGGGTTGCAAGGAGATAAGCAAACTTTCAGAAATCAGACTGAAAGGTGAGTCAACTGAGGCTGAATAGATATTTAAGTCTGCTTAAAAATATCATCCACTAAGAAAAAATAATGAGTTCAGCAGACCACGATAAAATACCAGATGAATTGCGTAAATCTCTCAATTACCTTATACACACCTGGTACAACTGTAACCATACAGCTGAAAAGTAATTGTGATGCGACATGCTTTAAACATACATGATGTAGTGATAAAAAGTATCCCACGGACGTTTACTACTAACTACTTCAAAACAAATATAAATAATAATTCCTGACAGTTATGATCTCCGTTTGCAGATGCCCTCGGCTCAATCTACCCTTTACATGGAAGAAGATACTAATACAGACTATACAGCTTAATCTATCACTCCACTAAGGTTCAAACATTTTGGATTGCCTCCATGAATCCTCTTCCTCGTATTCACGGTTTGCTATAACCCATATGTCACTATGCTACGGAGCACTTACTAGTGGTCTTATTTTTCTCTTGAAATGTTGTTAAATAAAATGCAAGAATTGTGTTCTTCAAAAGACAAGGTTCTAAACTGAAAACCTTATCACTATGTTTTAGTAAAACCAAAATAGAGAGGAATAAGCAATTAAGCATTGCACCTAAGAGGGAGTGTTTTGTAAGAAACTAAAGACTTGTATGTGTTTCTGTTTGCACTCTGATCCAACTAATTGAAATATCAACAAGTGGAATTTATTATTATAATCAGTAAAGGCCCTGTGTTCTGAATCCATTGAGATGTGACAACATATGTCTTCAACATGGTGTGCTGCTTTACGAGAGGACAGCAAGGAGGACGATAGCAGTATTTAGAGAACATGTATCATCATCAGTAGCAGTAGATTTATCTTTTGTAGTAGCACAGCAAGACTCTTACCTGTAATACTTCTCATGTCATGGAACCTATCATTTAGTCAGTAGATGGTTGCAACATAGACGATACATGATACAGCAAAGCCCACAAATTCAACACATGAACTTTGTGGGACTTTGCTATGCTCAACTAAAATATCCTATATAACTCGTTCTATAGTTGATGAATCATGCTTATTGGGGACCATAATCCATCAATGTTTTATGGGCAGATCATGCTTAACTATTGAATTGAAAAAATGACTGTTCATCTATGATTCATCTCTCTTTCCCTTCCAATTATTGAAGAACTGGATGACATGCTAAGGTCCTTGCTTTGCTGGAAAGGCTAAACTTAGCTTACGGTCAATCGACTTACATGTGCAGCTCAAGTAGGTTGGACATTTATTAAAGTATCAGCAAGGCAGGTGCAAGCCCAACATATTTTAGAACAAAATCAAGAAGCTGATGAAATGTGCTCAATTCATATTGATGAGAGCTAATGGTTGAAGGTGGATTTTGTGCATCCACAACCTACACCTATAAGAACCTTAAACACAATTGGAGAAGGATCAACATGATTGCCTTCCCTTTGAACCCTACCCTTCCCTCGGGGGGGGGGGGGGGGGGGGTGTTCCAGAGGACTAACACTTGTTATTGAGGTCTATGTATAATCCAAAATTGATGTTGATTTCGTTTGAACTTGAACAACAACAAATTTTTATTTTGTACACTTCTGATATAAAGGTCAACCTAAACATCAAAGAGAACATTGAAAATATCTTTAAAATTTCAGATCGATTTCCAAGTTGAAAATTTGTCCCTTCTACCTCAAAACACAGAATCAAGAATTTTCCAGATCTCAAGAAATCACGCTTTCAAATTGTATCAAACAAACTTCATGATAAACATAACATAGGGAATTTGAGATGGCCCAGAAAGCAAAATATATATATCCGGTTTTTCTGTTTGTATGTGTGTGTGGAGAGAGGGAGGGGGGATCAATTGATTGAGAGAGAGAGAGAGAGAGAGATTAAGAGGGAGCTAACTGAACACTTGTAGAACTTTTGTGAGCAGCAGAAGAAAGATTTTGCCCAATTTGGGGATGAGCCGCAAATGCTTCGAGCCAACCATGTACATCAACCTGTGGCCACCAAATCCATCGAAACCAAAATTCAATCTGATAAATTACACAACAGAAAAGAAAGAAGAACACGCATGTACAGACCTTATTGAACCAGACATCATTGGCTGCAGCAACAGCTTCTTCGTAAGTAGCGAAAGGTCCATCGGCCACCATTTGTTCCGCAAATTTAGTGCTTCCACAACAAGCTATGAAATCATTTTTGTCTAATCCAACCGACATAGATGATGTATATGATTATGATGATCTTTGAAGAAAGAAACACACACAGAGTGAGAAGCGTGTTCAACTGATGCTGTACTCTGTGACTCTGAGTGGAGCGCAAAGCCGCAAAGGGAGGGAGAGATGGAAAATGACGGGAAGAGGTAGGCAAGGTAGCGAAGAAGGGAAATAAGTTTGGAAATTCACGTTTCTGGTCCCTTAACTTTGGGATCTTAGCATTTCTTGCATATTTTTCCTCATGATTATCAATTTGGTCCTCCTCGCTTGTTTTCTATTTTGTATTCGATGATGAGTTCTTGTATAATTCTAGACGAAGGATCCTATGAGAAGGAAAATTATTGTGAATGTAAGATGAGATCTGAACCCCTGATTACTTAAAATCTCATGCTCATTCATGAATTATGTTTTAGAAGGGAACTGACCTGATATATTTCCGTGCACCTCATTAGTTTTGACATTCAATTAGGATTGATCCAAGGTTAGAGATCTATTCTTACCCTTCTCACCATAACTTCCTTTCTCATCGAACTCAATCCTATAATTATATGGATTAAAACAAGCAAATAGATAACGGTTCCATAAACTCACCCAATCTTAAAGACCGGATTTCTACAAAGTGTATCGATGATTTTTTAATACTTACAAAGACGTAGAATGATTATTCCAAATCTACCTGAGGATTTATAGATGAGATATTTTTGTTATGGGTACTGATTTTCAAGAGGTAATCAAGATAAAGAGAAGATTTAACAGATATATTCGAATATATAACCTTAAATGAGGTTTTAGTTTAAACCCATGACATTGTGATTAATATAAAATCATTTTTCTTTTAATAAGTTATGAAATAATGAATTTAATTAAAATCTCATTTAAGGTTATATATCTAAAAGAATACAAAATTTAATAGTAATGTTGGAAGTAATGATCTTTGGTATGTTAGCTACTACATGCAAATTGAAGTATTTAGAAATGAGATTGTATGCTAGTGATCTAGTCAAATAAGTTACCATTACAAATGATCTAGTGAACCACCATTGAAACTAACACCAAATGATGAGAAATCTTTCAACTTTCAAGATCCTCACAGATATACAAACTTTTGTTGGAAAGTTGTATATTTTACCATTCCAAATGTTCTCTGATGCATTATAGGAACACATGGAAGAGCATTGGATCCATAGAACATATTGGTCTTATTCTTAGTGGTTATATAGTTAGGGATTTGGGAGGATGATCCTTGTGTGCATTACTAGGTTCTTTTATAGTCTTGTGAAAAATCAAACAGACATTAATGGATTCAAGATTCTCAGTTGAAGTATGAGTACACGGTTATGGTTGAAACAAACACCGAAAATTGGAGAAATGAAAGATCCTCACAAACACAAAACTTTTGTTAGAAAATTGTTATACTTCACCATTCTAAGAGTCTCTGCACATGGACTAGTATTAGTTGATTCTTTATAACATATAATTTGGTCATGATCTTAGTGGCTATATAGATAGTGATTTAGAAGGACGATTATTCAATAGATCATTTGTAGAGTTTGCACGTTATTGGGTTCCTCCTTGTCTCGTGGAAATTAAATGAACATTAGTTGTTTCAAGATTCTCAATTGAAGTTGAATACAGAACCATGGTTAATTGAACACGAGATATGGTTTGTGTCATTCTTATTAAGTCCAAGACTTTCTTTATTGATCTTCGAATGGATTGAATAAATAATAGATCTTGATATTGTTAGATTGTAAGGTTTTTCGATAACAAAAAAAGGAGATAGTGGAAGCAAATAAAACAAAGGTACAATCCTCCAGAGATCTGGTTGCAATTAATATACAGGTAACAAAAGCAAACATAGAAAAGAGTAGAGATCGACCTTTGGATGGATGTGAAGAACTCAGTAGCATGATTCTCTCTATCATCGTCCATACCCCAAAGTTCTATCACGCTAGCAAGAAACCGCCTCCTTTTCTCTATCTGAAATCACCAAACACACATGCAATCAGCCAAAACCCTATTATGGAAGGTGGTGGTGTGTCGATTGGTAGAAAGGAGAGGGAGGAGGATGTATATTGACTCTCTATTAGGTTTAGGGATTAGCATTTTTTAAATAAGGACTAATCTGAACCCTAATAAGTTGAGCCAAAGCCCAATCTCAATTAAGCCTAAGTAAGTTTTGGACTAATATCTAGTTAGTCCCTCTAGTAATTTAATTAACAATTTTAATTAATTACATATTAAGTCCTTTATTTCTTGCATTTGGATTGAACTTTGTGAGCGACCTAATAGGCTCCATGCACTTGACAGTATCACTATTTTGTGTGTCTATGGGTATATCTTCAACAGGCTCCCACTTGCACATGTCACAACAACTGAATAGTAATACTGGCGACGGTCAGTATCCAACAATATACCATTGCCCCTATGTCAGCATGAGGTATATCATTCAAGACTCAATTTTTGTGTAAAGTGATCCTATAGGTAAGTGATCAAATATCCCTTTATTACAGATATCTGTGTGAATATGAGACATGGAACATAGTCAATCTGCTGATCGTTCACATTTATGTTTTTCGATAGGGATTTGTGGTGACCTAAGACATATTACAAGATTGATCCTTCAATCCAGTCCAAGTTATGCATACATTTAACGTCAGCACCAAATAATCAATGGGCCCATGGATATCGCTCTTATCATAAGATAAAAGGAACAAAATAGTATTAACTATATAGATCCCCTACCCACTAATCATGCTACACCCGAAGTTTCTCTTTATAGCCGCCTGTTACGGACAACGTTGGAGAAACATCAAAGCATTACAAACTTCATGCCAAGAACCTCATGTATCTTTACTTAGGGATAATAGATATTACCATCTTAGAATTGCTTGTGACATGATCCATAAAGCAATCTCTAAGTGCAGGTTGTTCCAGTACTTGATCTCTATCAAGTACATGTGAGTGTGTAGTTGCATCTTTATGCTATATCCATCTTTTATGGATAATCAACTAACACTCACATCAGCCTTTACTCATTACTCCCTTCTAGTGAAAAACGACCGATTGTGGAAAATTTTAAACTTACTTGTTTAAGGAAGATACAAACATGCAAAGTAAAAACATCAATACATCTAATGATAATAACTACTCCAAGGATATATCAAGATCTCAATCATAATATTAATACATCATAAATAAATTATATAAGTTCTCTAATCTCAAATAAACTAAAATGAATATAGTCAAGCCAAATCGCTAGCAAATCTAATGCCTATAGACCTAGTATGAGCATCATGCTTGGTTCATGATAAGGGCTTGGTGAATGGATCAGCCAAGTTCCCATCCGTGCCAACTCTACTAATGATGATGTCTTCTTCCTCGACAACCTTTTGGACATAGTGAAATTTCCTGAGTATATGTCATGTGCATTTATGTGACTTGGGTTCTTTAGCCAGGTTGATTGCACCCTCGTTGTCACAGAAGATCTCAAAAGAATCATGGATGGTAGGAATTACGCCAAAATCCCTGATGAACTTCAGCATCCACACGACCTCTTTTACAGCCTCGTCGACTGCAATATACTCAGCCTTTTGTCGAATCTGATACAATGCTCTGCTTGGACCTTCTCCAAGAGACTTGTCTACCATTCAACAGGAACACGAATCCCGACTGTGAGTAAGAATCATTACTATCGGTTTGGAAATTAGCATCAATGTAACCCTTTACACTGAACCCCTCCAAACCTCCATAAACCAAGAACATTTCTTTAGTTCGTCTCAAATATTTGATAATGTTCTTTACTACTGTCCGATGGTCATTACTAGGATTGGCCTGATAGCGGCTCGTCATGCTCAAGTTAACATCCTGCCATTCATGCCATGCCTTGTCAGCTAGGCTAGTTACCTAATTCCTTCCAAAAAAATCGATTTTGCGATGTTTCAAAAACCATTTTCTTACATTGCTTCGACAGGTAAAACAGTACTGGGTGATGACTTCAGAAGATTCACTTTTTTAAGGGATAAATTTTCTGTTAYCTTTCTGTATCTACTCAATTAGACTCAAAAAGAATAAAGAATCACTTCGTCCCTTTCCCTTCGGCAAAGACCTAGTAAGCACAAAAGCGAGAAGAAAAGGATCTAAGACAGAAGCCTACAAAGAGAAGTCCCAAAAAATAGGTGCCAAAGCAAGACTAGAGGAAGACTCTTGAATTGTATGAATGATTGCCTCAACGCAACTCCAGAGGAGAAGAGAGTTTGATTCTATGAATTGCTTTTTTCGCCTCTTTCACCGTAAAGTGCCTATGGTACCAGTTCATATTTGGTTACCTGAAGCTCATGTAGAGGCACCTACGACAGGATCCGTCATCTTGGCAGGTATTCTTTTACAATTGGGAACCTACGGCTTTTTAAGATTTTCAATACCCATGTTTCTTGAAGCGACATTTTGTTTCACTTCTTTCATTTATACTTTAAGCGCAATCGCTATAATATATACTTCCTTGACCACTTTAAGACAGATCGATCTTAAGAATATAATTGCTTACTCCTCAGTAGCTCATATGAATCTGGTGACTATTGGTATGTTTAGTCTGAACATACAGGAAATTGGAGGTAGCTATCTACTGATGTTAAGTCATGGATTGGTTTCTTCAGCCCTTTTTCTATGTGTTGGTGTTCTAGAATAACGATCAAATCAACTATCTCCTAGGAAAAAGCATGTTATAGCTTAATCAATTTACAGCCGACTCCTAAATCAMGTAGTTTCAAAGCCTGGAACAGGCAGGATTATAAGGAGCTTATATTAACCCCAGTCAGACAAGGAATTTGTAGTTTGGAGGAGTAGTAGGTATGTATCACTTTCAATGCCTAGTTGAAAAAGATCATGATGCATGGAAGAAAGCAATTGGACATTGTCCCCGGGCACTAAGGCGTCTATAATGTCATAGGAACTTTTTTCGGGCAGCAACATCACATTATTAGCAGTGAACAACAACTTTATGGCCCGTTCACTTAATTGTTCCCTTAGGGTATTTGAAACTGATTCATTCTTTATTGGATACTTATGGACTGTTAAACTGCATAA